GATTCCTGTCTATTTACAATCAATACAGAATTGGATGGAGGAGTTTATATCTTACATTAATATGTCTATGTTCATTTGTATTTTAAAGGTTTATTCTATAAAAGCTTTCATACAATACTATACAACCAATAAACACGCTGCTTTGACTACATAAGTTAGATCTGGACCTTAAATCTAGGCTTCATGGAGAGAGAAAGATTATATGAACAGAGCAAAAAACTCTTCAGGTGTCCTTTGTGTAGCTTTTAGCAACTAGGGGCGCTAGACGTGTAATTTCCAGACTTAGTGCCCCTGAAGGCCTCTGCATCTCTCCATCATTGCAAAATTAAACAGTGTCTCCGTCTTTTGGAATTTGATATCAGACCATTTTGGACCATCGGATTGAGAACATTCACCCCTCTAGATTAAATCCTACATCTGAGAACAGTAAATATAGATTTGATAAGGAAAGTGCCATATGGGTTTTGTTGCCTAGCAACATCTTTTAAGGGGAGCTCAGACTGCTGTAAAGCTGCACTATAGGTCACATGACCCACCATGGATCCGGCCCTCTCAAGTTATATCGGTAAGTTTTACAGAAGGGCGAACCACACAGTGCTCCGATACATGGCAAGTGCTGTATAGTGACCTGAAAAACTAATATTTGGGACTAAACTTACACGGTGCTGCTTTAAGCCTTCCTGTAATCTGCTAAAAGTCTTGCTCTCTCTCACATTCTAAATGAACTGCAAATGTCTGAATAGCCTTTCCTTTTAAATAGTGTCATGCTTCTCTGTGCATCCTGTTACTTTTTACCAATAAGAGCTCACAGCGTGTCTTTTCAAGTAACCGTACTGTTGGCAACATTACCGAGGAAGTAGTAATTTTGCCGTCAGTGTAACCTGATCACCCTTATGGGGGATTATGGACAGTTTTGAGTTTAATGTATGACTCCTGTTGGGTGTTTGGGAAGCAGATTTACCCACTTACACCACATGCACATCTTATCATAGGGTTATCCCCACATCTACAGAAACAACAGCAACTTTCAACCAAGCCTTCATTGCAGCCAACATCTTCCTAAGTTTTTATAGACACGATTCATTGATTTTGCCCTGCGTCTCATTCCCCCTTTTGTTCTCGAGGATTACTGAAACAATGGAAGGCAACCAGCAGCCGTCCTGTCTGTGCAATTCCTCTGCTTAGTGAGTCAGAGACCCTGAAGATAGAGCAGGAGAGCCAGGTCCTGGTAGAGGAGGACTATTTCTGTGTCGCCCGCAGCCACTGACACAGTGCGAGTGTTTACTGCTGTGCCATGCTGCCTCTCACAGTGGGAGCAGTTGAAGGATGACGACTGACATTATTGTGCCTCCAGCCTGAAGCAGGAACGGCACACAGAGAGCTTATTTAACCATCAGGTCACCAGACTGAGTGCAGCTTCACCGAGAAAAGCTTTGAGAATAATCATATTTTAGATTATTTAAGTGAATTTGGGTGTATCTTCAGGAATATTGTATTTAAAGAGGGTAAAATGATGACAGAACAATGAAATGGATAAATGGATCCTTTTTTATAGATCTAAGCAGTACACCTTCTTGTACACAAGATGGCACTAGTGAAGCATGTGACCTCAGCAGAGTTGGAGCTTGAATCTGGATTGGAGAGATTCCTTCAGGTCACTAATCTAAATACAGATACTCCTCATACATTTAGTTTTTTTTCACTCTCCTCCAGAATAGTAACTCACACGTCCAAAAAAATAAGGGATTATTTGAAATGAAAATAAGCAGCTGGAAGTGAAGTCTGTCCTGCATTTCTGATAAATAACAAAAAACATTAATTCACTCGCAAGCTTCAGAAAAGTGGCCAATCCTCGGGCTAGGTGCAGCAAAAAAGGGGGAAGAAATCCTTTGAACTGTGATAACCTGGTAAATGCTTGGTATTTGTGTTTATCCTGCTGAGCACGGGTCTTTTTTCCCCTCCCTCATCAAAACAGTGATAAACAAGTGCTGCAGGCGTCGTTCCTATATGAAATGCATGAGAAAAAAATAAGTATTTTATTAAAAATGATATGTTCTTTAACTTTAATTTGTGGATGGAGGAGTTCACTAGCATGAATTTGCATAGCAACAATGCAAATGAACTTGCTTTAAAAAATATAAAACGTGATAAAATGATATTTTTATTCTTCTCGCAGAAATAAACTCAAAGTCTCTGATCTTGTCAGCTATTTGGAAAGGCTTGTTTCATATCAGTTCAGCCAACTTGGATTGTTTTTTTATGTATATTTCATTTATAGTGGATGATGCTTAATGAGCCATGGGAGAATTATTTATTAAGCTGCAGCTGCCGTTACAGAAAGTGGGTCAGATTCCCATTTTTTGCCTTAAATATTGAACAAACTCTAAGGGTTAAAACTGCTATATCAAAATGTATTTTTTTAACAGCATCCGCCTTAAGGGAGCTCACTTAAAACAAAGTGGATAAAGTTTTAAATGTTGGTTGAATTAAGGCTACGTGAAAAAAAGTGTGTGAATTTTACAAAATATCCTATGAGTGGAATAAATAGATCTTAGAAAAATCCCAGTGTTGCAATGTCAACATGTGTCTTAGTCACATTGCTTAGTATAAATGTGTTTATTTATACACAGCCCACCATTTCAGAACTGTCCATCAGTGATTTAGCATCTGCTCTTCCTTCCTCATCCTGAACTTCTCCCCCCTTCTTTACTAATTTGTCTTGTTTATTTCCTTTGTCCCTCACCCTGTCATCCCCTCCCACTTCTTCACTTTCCCTCACCCATCCCTCCCTCCTTTAACTTTCATCCCCACCTTTCACAATTCTCATCCTCACTCTCATCCCTATATCGTTCATCTCTTATTCATACTATCACCCTTTCCATAATTTCTGACCTTGACCTTCACCCCTCATTTTTACGTGCTTCTTCCACCTGCTCTTCATCCCTTTACCCTCATCTAAGCACCTTTTATGTCCCATTCTTTCCTTTATCATCCCTAAATCCTTTCCTCAAAGATTTCTCATCTCATCCTCATTCAAACATCTTTCATGTCTAAACCCTTCATATTTCATCTCTACATCATGTAGCACAACCCCTATATCTGCGCACCTTTTAACACTCAACCCTATCCCCTCCTTTTATCATTCCTCATCCCTACCACCTTTACTCCTTAGTTATAATCTTTACGTCCTGTATCCTTCCAGCCCGTACTCGTCACTGCTACATTAGTCATCGCCCGCTACAGCCTTCACCCCTCATTCCTTTATTCATCATCCTCATCCCTTCATCTTCAAACTCCTGTATAACTAAACTATTAAACTTGTAATCTCTAAACCTGTACTTCGTCATTTCTTTGTATTTGTCCTCAGAGAATCCTCTCTTCTGTATTTCTTACCTTAATTCCTTATCTTTACCCACCATCTCTGATATTCGTCATACCGTTTTCTTTAACTCCTAATCCATACTTCCTGCCTCTCTCATAATAATAATCTGTACCAAATTATTCCTAATCTCCGCCTCTCGTGCCTTTATCTCCAACCATACTTTACCAATTATCCCTCAAGTCATCTGTCTCAATTATCCAATGTCCTTCATCTTAAAATCCTTACCTGCATCATCCATCGACCTTGATCAATCTTCTCCCAATCCTATATGCTTTATCTCTCACCTTTCTTCATCCCTCATTCCACCTACCTTAGGTTTTGACTTCCTCATCCTCCCATCATCCAATACACATATACTTCCTTACTTCTCCAGGTTGTGTCTAGCAGTGACAGCACTTTGAGTCTCCCTTCATTCTCCCCTATGGTACCTACAGTACTCCTGCAGTGTAGCTTTATAGTAAAAGACAAGTTATGCACCCAGATAAAATGGTAATGTGACAAATCTTTCAGGATAAGTTGCTTTGTTTTTAACATCACAACCATGCAGGGTCATTCCAGGTTTTCCCTACAATCCATTTTATTTGTACATCATCTCTAGCTCAAAGTCTGAGTTTAATGGTATATATTAGACCTTTGTCCCAACAGGCGTGAGGCGCACTCAAGGAGCCTGCTGTAATATCTGTATCAGCCTCTCTAGTCGTGGTAAACCATGGTATTCAAAGCTACTCTTAGAGACTTCACAGCAATTTACTCCTATGTCTTCACCAAAATGTCCTCGGAGATTGTCACTGCCTGATAGACAACTAAGGGGATTTCATAATAAAACAACAGTATGTTGTGTTTTTTTTACCCTATAAATTCCAGTGGAATAGCATTAATATTTGATGTGATGAATGGGGGAAATAGTGAGGAATGTATTATATAAACACTAATTTTATAAACTCTTTAGAACTGCCTCGGGGGCTGTGACACTTGTCAGCGTTTTGAAATATGTTTGCATTTACTGAATTTGTTAACACATAGCAGCATTTTTTTCTTTTTACTTGACACATTGCTCTGGGCTATTGACATTATTGATTTAAAAATAACAATCTGGTTGCAGTCTGAACTATGAACATATTCACAAATCATTTGCATACATTTCCATAGTGTTTCCAATTCTTTTTCTTTTTTTTTTTTTGCCTCCACTGAAAGTAATGTCACTAGCAATTATTTTTGATATCATTGACATTATCATATCAAACCCACGTGAGTCAACATGCATATTTACATTGTGGGCGAGATGCTTGTAAATCATCATAAAAAATGAATTATCAGCCATGAGATGCACAGAAGTTATAAAAAAAGAAACAATACATCTGTTTTATCTCACCAAGCTAAATGCCTGTTCTAATGAGTAAAGGGATTAATGGAGAGGAGAGACACAGATATGCCTGTTCAATGGAAAGTGCTGCTTTTTGGATAAATTTTTACACAAACACATCTGGGTATCATGAGCACTTTATTTATAACACTTCTCAAAATACAACCTGTGAGATTATCAATACAATGAAATTTTAATTGGAAAAATAACATACAGAAGACTTGTCATAAAAAGCGAATCTATCCCACTGTTTTCTCTCTTGTAATTTTGATTCTCCTGGGTGTTTGTGCACCTTGTCATTATGATCAAAGAACATAAATTACAAATGCACATCTCATATGCTTATCTGTTATTAACAGATTAGGGTTTTTTAAGCTCAGCACTGTGAGATGCATTGTTACAGATCATAACAGCCTGAGCAAAGCAGGGAATGTTTAAACAGAAACACTTTTTTAAGGCTTTTATTTTATTATTTTTTTTGTACAGACCGCAGCAGTAGCTGTGGAAACAAAGGAGGAGAACTGATCAGTAAGTACACCGCAAAAGACACTATAGATTCCTACCAATTTAATTGCACAAGCAAAGTTTAGTTTGGTGCCAAAAACAAAATAAAAAAGCCAGTTTGTAACACTGAGTTCACTATCAAAGCTTGGCCATCTTAATCTTCTGTTTCTGTGCTGGTTTATTTTTCTTTTCATAGATAATTTTCAGCATCTTTCAATTTATCTCTTGTTATTTTTAAAAGAAATATGAGGCTCTGAAATGCCACTGTAGACCTGTGTGAAGGCAGAGCTCATCTTTATCCCAAAAAATGTCTTCAAAACCTTTTTTCCTTGCCTGATATATATCTTTCTCTGTTGTTGCATGTCTTGATTTTTGAGCAGGCTTCTCTTCTTGTTGATTCTTTCACACCTTTGTGTTTTGTCCTTGGGGGGCTGTTGTTGGTATTGCAAAAACTCTTATCTACTAGTTATGTAAGCAGGAAAAGAGACAGAGATATAAACCAAAATAATCTTTACTGGGAATACCTCCACGGTCTATGCAACCTCATAAAACATGGCTGTCATAGGTTCTTTTCACAAGCTTCTAAATGTTTTAGTAGAAACTGGAAAAGAGGGGATATTTTAAAGAGAAACATTTGAGTTGTACAAGCCTATAAAAAACATTATATGTGTAAATTAATACTTTTTATTAGATAAAAATAATACAGGATTTCTTTTGAGATTAACAGCAATGAATTAAAATAAGAAATTAGCCTTTCAGTTTTCTTTGCCGAAAGAGGTTAATCACTTTTGAAAGAAACAAACTTTTATTTTGACAACTCATGCAGTAGCCTTTGTATTTTTTTCTGACTTATGCCAGAAGGCCTCGGAAGTATAACAGCGTTGAGCTCAATGTTCAGCTGGAGAGGTTTGGCCTTTCATAGTTTGTGAATGGAGCTTTAAGAGACAGCTCAATTTTTTTTAAAGACTTGTAAATTTGTCAGAAAAGGTTGCCTTAATAGTAGTAGAAAAAGAAATTGCAGTGATTTTATAAAACATATGTATAAAACATAATGCCTTCCTGGTATTTCTGGTAAAAGTCAGTAAAACTGACAAAAAAGATGTTAATGTTTACAATAACTAACAGATTTTTACATGTTCTTCTTACTTTCATTTACTAGAAGGAACTAAATAAATGGTTAAGCACACTAATGCACACACTCTAATTCCAAGTCTGCCTTCATTATATGAATAACCTGCATTTTTGATAATTCCACCCATACAAACCAATGCAGCTACTAGAACAAAGTCATATACCTGTGTGTTTTTACACCACCTGTTCACCAAAAGAGAGGAAAAAATAGCTGGAAAAACAACAACACAACAAAAACATGTTGCATTTTAACCTAAAAGTACCTGCAAACTATGGCTTACTAATTTAGGGTAGTAGATATACGGTAAGGATTTAGTTAAAAGTTTAATATAAAATATATCAAGAATCAGAGACATCCTCAAGTGTATATTGTGCAGTGTACATCTATGGATTAGTAGAATATGACAATGTAAATTTATAATAATTTCAAAAAAGCAAGGACAATTTATTTTTTTTGGAAGCACAGAAAATGTAATGCTAATAATGCAACTGATGATATAATCAATTAATAAAAAATGCTGTTTTTAAAGAAATTCATCAACAAAAATAAAGCAGAATCCCAAACTGCTCCAACACATCAGATCCTCCCCAGCATGCGTGCGATCCACCAGTTGCAGGGCATCACAACGTGACAGATGACCCGGCCTCCTTGGTAGTAGTATGGCCATGGGTTGTAGCCACCCAGGGGCTCGAAGTAGCGGCGGCAGTAGCGATAGCCACGTCGGCAGTGCTGGCAGCAGTAGCCGCGGTCATCTAAATGGCTATCCAGCTCGATTCCCACCTCCCTCTGCAGAGGACACAAGAGTGAGGAGAGTTAGAATCACACACAACAAATACCAGTCCTCCAGAGGCAAGGGCAGGAAAGGAGGAATAGGAAGTGGAGTGGCTGATGGGAATTGATGAGGCCACTTTTGGTTCTAGGTCAAGAGATGGGACGTAAAAGCCAGACAACAGTCAAAAGATCAGAGCTAATGTGTGTGAAAATGCAAAGTCGTGTCACGTCTAATGGCTCAGACTGAGAGATCAAGAGAGCTGCGAGAGTGCACAGGTTTGAATTAAGCTTCAGGAGCATAAAATATGATAATACTCCTGACCTTTCTATTATAACTGAGGTAAAGCGACTGACAGTTGTGCAGCGATTCCAGGCTTCATAACCTCTCAACCAGCACTATGTTCTGTCAGAGGGACTCTTAGTTGCTAGTAACTAACATAATTACACTATTTCTTTCATCTTTGACCTCTTAACTCCCTCAGATTGAGCACAGACTGCTCTAAAATGGCTGCCCCGCCTCCAGCAGAGCATTCAAATTAGAGCTCCTCACTTCATGGTGCCCTCCTCCTGACCTTGACTTTAAGTGCATGGCACATTCCTAAAGCAATTAGCTGAGTAATGATCGCCTAAGAAGGATTCTTTCATTTGCTCTTGCTGGCTGCCTCTGAATTTATAGAGGGGCCAAATGAAACCCAAACGAAAGGTAAATTGGGTAGAATTAATGGCCCTTGGATTTTTCCATTGTGCTGCTTAGTTCATGCCCCCATTGACTCTTTGGGCTGAGTGCCATGCCTCTGATCAAGAACAGCTCTGAATGGTGGTTCAGAAAGTGCCACTTAACTGGCAACACACGGGTTGAGGTAGCAAAACGCCCTCGGTATTCATTTGACCACGTTTCAATCTCTTTTAGCAAATGAATCCCCGGAGACAATCCGGCGCGGCCTTGTTAATCTCCTTGGATCCTGAGAAGCGGCCTCCACATTCGCAACAAACCGGTTCATGGACGCTTGCAATGATTCAACAACGCACAGTCATGCAGAACAAAACACATCAACTGTTGGGAATAGAAAATGTGTGGGAAACGTTTAACCCTGAGGGAAACGGTCCCGTCGGTCCCCTACCACCTCAGATATAAAGGGATTTCTTTAATATACTCAGCAAGTCACAGAGCAGAAAATCCCCCTTTGTTTTTGTTTACATCTTCGGCTGCAGCAATGTCTTTCAAATGTATTCATATCTCTTGAACTATTCCAGGTTTTGTCATATTGCAGCCTAGAATACCAATGCATTTTATTAGATTCTAAGTGACAAACAACACAAAGGCCATAACTGTGAAATGAAGACCACAGCCGCACTGCAAATATTTTATTAGCAGACTCATGTGTTTCTGCTTGTAAAGAAGAATAACTATAAATTAACTCAATGACACAATCATATGTTTATACATAAATTGCCTGAATGGCTGCTATTTAAGGGAAAAGTTGAACCATTTTGAATAGACGCTGAGCTAAACCACTTCAAAACAGGAAATCACCTCAAATATCTAAACTAGTTAAAAAACAAATCTCATAATTGACTTAAAGCTGTAATTGCAGAAGAATGTAGGTGTTAAAAACTATTCCGTTACTAATAAGCTTTACTTTTTGATGGTCGATTGCCTAAAGTCCAGCTAACATATATGGATGCTTTAGGCTGTACTTTAAAATGTTAAAAGAGCTCAGGATATATAAGGACCTCTGCAAAGCACTTCAGTTTCTGTGAACTTGTTATAAGCCAGACCTATGAGGGAGTCTGTCATGCTTCTGATGGGAGCTTTGATAAAGTAAGTAACATTACGCACACATAAGACATATTTAAAACACACAGAAATTGTGTGACAGATAAACATGGAGCTTAGCTGGGTTTGATTTATGGCTACGACAGGCTCAGGTAGGCTTTTAATGATTTATTGTTGGAGTCGGGTTTCAGGTCATCAGCTTCCAGGCAACAATCTGTTATGGAAACAACACGAAAGCTGTCAATGGACCAACGATAATCTTATCTGCTGCTCGCAGCCCAAACTGGGATGGTACAAAGTCTGGCACTCTGGCTCAGAAAAATGAAGGAAATATTTTATTCAAATGACGTTTATCAACTCAAACAGCCAATGGGCAGCATTGTAGCTCAAAGAGAATTCATCAGAGCTATCCTTTTAAAACGCAGTCTACATATTAATCACCTCTCTTGTGGAAAGCTAAGGTGATAAGAATAGTTCACCTTGGGAAATCTGAGACAGTCACTCATAAACAAGCTGCATTAATGAAGAGTAAAAGCCATTACCCCCTGACTGCATCTGATTTCATCACACCGTCCTCTCTCACACACACACACAAACAGCCAGACACACACCTCTGTGCATGATATGGGAGGCTTGGAATGAGTCGGCAGAGTAGAAAACTGTGTCAGTCATTCAATAAGATGTAACGAATCAAAGCATGACTCCTCTAATCTCCACACTTGTTGATATTATTTCACACACCCTGATCACCGCTCTTCATGAGCTTGAAGCACATTCCTGGATGTGTTATTAAATCTCAGCGTAGAGCTCATCACATTCATTCTGTGATCAAAACAGCAGCAATAATGCTTCATTCGCGCACACCCTGCTTTGTATTCAATAAGCCCTTTTTTTTTATTCCAGGTATAAGGGATGGAGCAACATTTGAAATTTGTTGCTGAGACCTGACCTCACATTTTAATCTCCCTGTGCTGTGCAGTGAAGGTGAACTAACAGTGAAAACGGATATTTACTAAATTAGCGGTGCCATCATTTTTTTTAGGATAATGCTAAGAAGCTTTATGCTCAACCTAAAGGTTCCTCGGTAGGTGCAAATAACACCTGCCTTTGAATTGCCTCAGGTTTATACATGTCTGGTCTGCATCACACAAAATATGGCTCCTATAGTGCCTTATAGAACTATGGAAGGAGGATGGCTTTCAAAATATTTTGTAAATTTTGTAAAAAGTGTGGTGTGTATCTCCACCCTCTATAATCTGATACCCCTTAATGAATTTCAGAGCTGGGTGCTTCAGAGCTCACCTAATTGGTAGAAAAATATTTTGATGATCATGATAATATGATATGATAATAATTATGATTATAATTAAATAAGGCTATATAGTCCGAGTGTTCTTCCCGATAATGTTTTGACGGTGCTTTTTGAGCCTAAATAGAACCCCAGCACCGGCACCATCTACCTGCAGTACCGCTGACCAACCAGAAAACCAGATGGTGGTTAATGACATGGCTACTAAATAGGTTCCAACCGTGCTGCAATGACTGAACACTGACAGCCTGGAGGATGGGGCTCAAAAGCCCTGCTAACACCAGTAACAAGGACATGTACACGTGTGTCTATAAACTTCACAGCCACATCTAAATGCTTTGTGAGCTTTAGCTACAGTTTTATTACATTCTAGCAATCAAAGTGTTTTTTTTCTAGCACAACTCAAATTTTATCTTAAACATATTTTTGTGCCTTTTTACACCCCACCCACTGCAAAAATGGAAATCTAAATAAGTATTTTTTTTCTTAAAATAAGTGCGTTTTTTTCTTGAATTGAGGAGGTGAGTGAGACACATTGCCAATAAAACAAGACAATTTACATTTAAAATAATAATATTATTATTATTATTATTTAAATTGCATATTATCCAGTTATTTTAAGATAAAAAAAAAACTAATTCCATTGGCAAATCATTTAATTAACTACTTAGATTATGGGTAAAAGATTTAAGACATTTTTGCTTATTTCTAGATTTTGCTGTGTTGGTCTTTTTTTTCTTTCTTTTTTTTGCAGCTATTCTGTGAGTGCCACATTCACCCGCCTCCAGTGCTTTGGCTTGTTGAACAGTTGTACACATGATGCCTTTATGGTAAATACACACAAAAAGGTAATGTTGACTAACTAATTGAGCAAAGGTTAAACTTAAAAGAAAAAATTATTACTTTGCCAGCAGGATAATTTGTCCAAAAAAATCATATATGAAACCAGAATGAGTAACTGGTGCATAAATTCAACTAAATCTCAAATGACGTAACTATGTGCCTTTAAGTAAGCATACTACACAGAATCTTGTGAGTAACCTTACAATATTTACCTAAATATTTACCAGACATGAGTCTGGCAGAGAATCTATTGAGGGAGCTAAAATTTTGGTGGGGGATGGCAAAGTGTCCCTCTAACCTCATAGACTTATTAGAGCTCCTTAACAAACATAAATAATCAAACACATAAAGAACTGCAATGCATTTTCAAGTTTTTAATTTCTGATGTTTCTTTCATTTTTACAGGGATATAAATTATATTTGACATGCCATTTTAAATAAAATGGAAATAAGAAAAAAATAAGTTTTTTGAACTTTTCTTGGAAATAAGAAATCCTGCTATGTTTTGTCTTCTGAAAGACAGACGTCTGGTTTCAAATCAGATACAAATTTTTTATTGGCACTTCTTCCCCTTAATTTTAAAGTCGACTGACCGAAAGTAGCTTTGTGGGCGTCACAACTAGAAAAATTAATCCTTAATCTGAATTAGCCAGGGATATGGATATAAACAACAACTAAATTAATGGATTTCCAGCAATACATTGATGGAAATTTAAACATCACCCTAAACACACTATCTCTGGGATGATGAAAGCATCAAGCTGGACTGGCAAGTTGGTCAGAGGTGACCCTGAAGGGAAAACCAGTTAGAGGCTGCAGAAGACCCAACACTACAAGAGGAAAATTAAAATACACCATGACTTTGATGCAATTTATTAGATCAATTGATATCTATATGTTAGACTGGCACAAAAGTCTTAGGCTAATTGAATTGAGAATCTAATAAAAGACTCAGCATTATATAAATATTTATCAATAAGGCTTAGCTAGAGCTAAGAAGAACTTATAGAAATTTCAATATAAAACATAATTTTAATTAAATGTTTTTTTTTGGTATGTCACAATAAAAACCCCGCAGTAAATAGTTTGACAAATTTTAGAAGATTAAAAAAATATATATTTATACTTTTTAAAAGGCTTATATAGCATGTGTAGTTACCGAAAGATGCCATGCCAGAAATATACTGTAACCATGCAAAGCCCACATGTTATTACATACAGTATGGTCAAATCATATCAGGAGCTATATTTAGCTATTTGGGTCAAGTACAGTGGTGCCAAATAAATCTCTACAGGCTTGTCAGTTTAGACAGTTATTAATTTGAATTTTTCCAGGGCTAGCTTGGTGGCCTCTGACAGGGCAGCTGTGGCAAAGTTTAGCTACATATATCTGTCAGGCTCTGCTAAAAGGACTCAACCGATTATCCTGCTTTGTGAATGTGCTCCGTGGGCTGGAATGGCTCAGGATCCCAGATTTGTGAAATGCAGATGAGCTGAACGCATGTTTTTTTTATTTTTTTATGTGTGACAGAAGAAAGAAACCATCAGTTTGTGGGTGTGTGTGTGTGTCTGTGCACATTAACATGAGCGCAGGATGAAAAATAATAATAAATAAAAATAAATGCGGCTTGGCTGACACATGTGGCATCCCACTGACATGAGGGTAAGCTCAGACTCCCAATTACAGACTACTGCCTGCCCTCCGCTTGGCCACAAAGGCCTTTGTTATCAGCAAACCCACAAACACAGCGGTCTGGACATACTGTTGGAAGGGATTGCAATGATGCCCATTGCTTAGCAGATAGAGGCAGAATATTTCAAAAGGAGCGCAGAGTTTTTCATCCCCTTGGTATGTTTTAATTGCGCAGTACTGCATCTCATAGCATGGACAATAATGGAAAAGACAGAAAGTGCTCGGAGAGGCTGGGATAGAGGTCGTAAAAAAGTTACCGTGTTTGTGGGACGAGCCTGATAAATGTCTACATTACAGGACATCTAATTTCTCTGCACGCCCCTCTTCATTTCCTGCCCCTGTGAGGAGGAGAAGACTCATTATCCTTGAAGTTACCTGAAGTCACAACTCACCTGTAAGTTGTGCATACCCTTTCTCCTCTGTGTGTCACCGGTATTTTCAATGTGAGCCTGCAGTTTGCTTTTGTCATTCCATTGTAACGTACATAGCAGTGTGAGTTTCCCTCAGAGCCTACGATAATTAATCATACTGTATCGAGTGGTTTACATGCAGGATGCAAAAACAGTCCACTTGCCCCCTGCATTCATTTTATGTGCTTTGATAATTAAACCGCAGTTAATAAGTGCAACTTATCTGTACAGCAATGAGTGACCTTGGGAGTGCTTCTCTATGCAGGGATGTTCTCTGACTAAGGAGAAAAAAAAAAGCAGTAACTGGTGCTGTAAGGCACAAGTTGCTGCCTTTGAAAGGCTGGATATTCCTCTCAATTAATGGGGAGACATTAAGGGAGTCTTCAATGAACTAGCCTTGCTTAAACAGATATATAGAGCAATTGCTATGCCCTCTGGTGCACAAAGTCAGTTTTAACATCAATTAGTGAGCAATTTATATGCAGAAAGAGTCAAGGCAGAGCTGGGTCTGATTGAAGTAGCTCACTGTAGCATATAGTGTGGTCTCTGGTAGTGAGGAAGGGGAAGGAAAGAGCACTACTCACATAATCGTTCACAGGAGCGCGATCCAGGATGTCCCGGGTAAAACGATGACCTGGGACCTCCGCATCAGGTGTGTCCACATCCTGAACCTCACCATCTGCAGCAGGTGGGAAGGAAAATCATCAGAGTTTGAAAGAGGACTAAAAATAAACAGATTAAGATTTCATTCCGTTCTCCCTGTGGCCTTTTGTAATTAACAAGTGAAATGTGTTCAGTCTCATCCCAGGCTTACTTTTTTTTCTTTTTCTGTTCAACCACGTTGTTCCTGTCGTACTCACACCCAGTATCTAATTTGTAAAACATCATATTAACAGCATGTTGGAGAAAAAAAAAAGCCTACCATGATTAACAGCCAGAAAAAGACAGAATCTAAGAGGTAAGATTGTTTTAAGATCTTTATTCTTAATATTTAGTTTTATTATGAATAAAGGCTTCGCGTTTTGTCATGTTAAAAGCTGCAAACATTATTGTATATCAATGGGCAAGGACAAAGCACAATTTGCAGGTTAAGGGACTTTGAGAGTAAAAAAGTAATGCATATTTTCATTCACACACCTCCTCTTTTGAGACAACTAAATTAAACCCAGTCCAGGTATGTTATTCAATCTAATTACAATTGTTCTGAAAAAGCCCAACTACAAAACATATATGTGGGAAAGCTTTTTTTAAGCAGGGACGGAGGACTACATGATAGTTACATACAAGAAAAAACCCTGATGACAACGTTTCAGAGGCTCTAAAAGAATTGAGTCAAAGGAGTTCAGCTTTCTTTGGGACATGAACCTGGAGCTTCAGTGGAATTGTTTATTTCTAATATTATGTTAAACTGACAAATACAAATACAAACAAAATACTGACAAACCAGAGCTGCTCTCCATGTCTGAGTTTGAGTTATGCAAAATGGCCAGAATGGTCAGAATTAAGATGTGCAACAATGGTTAAAACATAATTCAAAAGACTCAGCTGTAAGAGGAGGTGAAGTTGCTTCTGCAAATTATTGACTGAGGTGAGCTGAATAAATGTTTTTCTTTTTGAGCACAGCTCTCCTTAGGCTGCATTTGGCAGGACAGGTTTAAAACTCTGTTTCTTGCTCACCAAGAAAAAGATTAAATCTTTTTTTTATTGTTGTTTATTAAGCAAAGGGATCACAAATAACATATCTCAGCTAAGTACATTTTCCTTTAACAAACAAACTAAATGACATTCAAAAACAAAAAGCTACGCATCAAACAGCAAATGCTACATATAAAGATGAAATAGTCTCCAATTAACTATGTAATGCCATTCAGCCTGAGCCTAGCCCATCAAATTAGTCCTTGTCTGTTTTCCATTACCTGCTCGGTGGTCCATATTCTATTAAATCACTTTAACTGGTAACTGACTCAAATTAGAAATCAACTGTCCGAAATGATATTTATTAGTTATTCTGTCAATCTTATTTTAAGACAACTTTTTTATCAGAATATTGATTTATCTTCCCTTCTGGTTTGGGTTGGAGACTGGATCTCAGAACTTCTAGCAATAGTTGTTCTTTGATGGGTTAAAGAAATGTGCCCTAATGACTTCTGACAAACCCTGGCTCCTAAACATTTGTATTCACCGAACACACCCAACTTTGGTGTCACTACATGTTGTACTGCTTCAGGTTTATTCTTATTTGTTCTCCTTTTAAATTTTTTGTTTTTGTTTTACAGCTGTTGATTATTTTTCCTGTATCTTAATTTTTTCCGTTTATTTGTGCAGAAATTTAAAAGGCTGGTGTAAACATTCCCCCCTTCATCTATTGTTCTATAATACCTCATCTCACTAGGCAGGTATTCACAGCAAAATAATTGACATAGACTAGGAACTGTTAAGCTTTGGATTCCTTATAATCAGCCGGTGCTCCGACTTGGTAATTTTGATTAAAATTACTAATTTTATCCATAATTGAACTTGACACTTGTTAATAGTTATTCTCAGCCAAACTAAACCTATTGTTGCACAACATGAGAATGGCTCTCAGATACTCTACTGTTCAATAAATATTCATATCACCTCTGCAGCTAATGTGCCAAACTTTTTGGTAAACAATGTGATTCCCGCTCCCTGCAGTATTAAATAACACAAAGATAACTGTCTAATCATTAGGTGAATATTCATGTTTTTAAATCATTATTTTCGGGGGTGTTTATCAAAACAGCGATCTTCACAGCTGTTTAAGTAACTTTAGTGTGAAGCTGGTAGTCAAAACTGTGTTTATCTTGATCTTCACTCTGACTTCAGACTGTCGATTTTTGTGATATGAGGCTGACAAGGAGCTAAAATTCAATATGAAGTTCTGTCTGTTTATCTCAACTCCAACAATTTATAGTTGGGGTTTACTGTTTTATTTTTAACTGAGTGGGCTTTCAGTCCAAGTCAAAACTTTACTTATTTTTTACAGTGCACTGTACATAGAAATGTGGTTTTATAGGTATTTTCTAAAATAATTTGGGAATATTTGTTCTTCTTTACTGATGTAATATGACATCCCCCTGCATTGTTTAAATCTAGTTCAACTGTGGATGTCTGTTACAGTCTGTATTCTTCCTCTTTGTCTCATTACCCTGGTGACAAACAAAAAGGGGCCCGGACAAGCTGCTCATAAAGCTGGGAAATCATGCTGCCTCTATGGACCTCCACATGGCCAGTGGGGATGCCCTCCAGCTAGAGTCTTAATAGTCTGCATTTAGAGGCAGCTATGCCCCCTGCCCTCACCAGTCATCGGGGAGGGATGGATCCAGTGGATAGGCAGCTGCTGGCAAATCTCCCAGATCTTTGAGTCAAGCAGGAAGTCCAGGTTAACGATGGGCTCCTCAGCAGGTACCCACACTCGGGGGTCCTCCACCTTCATATCCGTGGCCTCTGACTCATCAACCTGCCAGACAACAACACACAGGCACACACACAAACTCACTTACTGTCACACATATGCAACAAAAACACATTAAAAAGCTTGTTGGCCCCTGCTAAAACACCTACTGCCCCACACACGTACATGTCCTGCATTTTCACAGTTCTCCCTGGGGTGGTTACCATCTTGTAGCTCCATCTATCACCTTTGTGTCTTCTGAGAGGAGTGCAACCTTCTGACACCCTTTGCCCTGCCATGACTCTCACCCTCCTCTCAAGCTGCTGGCAAGCCTCTTTCTATTAAACATCATTGAAATCCAGGGATTATTTGACTTTTAAATGACTTTAGAAGTGGTCTTCATTATTGCAAGAGTGGTTGAAATGTTGTTTAATGTCACAGACACAATAAAGGATTGCATTCTCCTTCTACTCTCCCCCAATTTCTTGCCCGCCTTTACTCCACTTGGCACTTAGCACCATCAGAGGGCTTAATTTGTAGACACTGTAGTTCATGAGCTGTAAAGTACACTATTATTGCTTAATGATAGGGACTACATGTCAGTGTTGTCTAATAGAGACATATGAAGGGGATTAAGTAATGCATTTAGCAATCCACTATCATGCAGATATTTATTTTTGTCATGTATATGTAAATACACACGCAAACAAACCCCTCTCTTCCCATTCCCTTGTTAATTAGCCTCTCAGAACAGAAAAACAGTTCACTTGACAAATGTTTTTACAAGGTTATTTTCTTCCAGTCTGCAGCTTAATTGCACATTAGTTAAGCTTGATGTAGAATCCTGGGGCAATAGCCGGAGTGGGAATCATTTATACGGTCTTGCCCCCTCCCTCATGTTGGCCCTTGTCACTCTCAGTTGAATTAGAATCTCACCCTCTGTGCTTCTTTTTGTTTTTCAGCAGCAGCAAGAAGAAAAAAAAAAAAAACAGAAAAAAAAGAAGAAAATCTCAGTTTAAGTGTATTCAGCCACGTCAGAGGTCATGTTTGATTGCGGGACTCACTCTTCTTCACTTTGAAGCCCCCACCAGAACACCAATGATAAGTCAGAGGACTGGCGTGTGCTGCGGGGTGATGGTGGTGCTGCAATACTGTGGAAATTAAAAATCAAACTCTGGGAACATAAACAGCACTCTCTAATTGGACCTCTTAACCGCTGAAGCTAAGCAAGTCCTCAGTGGAAAGTAAATGGAGGTCAGGGCATTGGGCTCACAACAAGACTTTGACTTCACATTTGAGAAACGATTCCAATAACTTAAAGGAGCAAGAGAAAGAGAGAGAGCGCACCCGGGGGGTGAAGTGGTAAAGGTCAGTATTTTAGCATGGGGCATGGATTTCTAAATGCCAGTTGACAAGCACAAAGACAACATGATTACAGACTGCCAGTTTGTACACACTACTGAAAGGGTTTTCCATTTTGCTATTGACAAATGATATATTATTAAGACACAAGCAACTTTTTATCATGTATTGGACCTTGAAAATGATGGTAATTTGTTTTCTAGGAGCCTGCTCCTGGAGCATGTAAGCTTTTCGCCTACAGTGCACAACTTAATTATATACCAGTTGTGCTGTAGTTAACAAATTTACCCTCTCCTGCCACTGTGTCCCAAGGGGGGAAAAGCCTGTCGACATGACACATTGTTTAAAACGGTGTTTGCCAGAGATCAACAAAGATTTTCCTACCATACCCAATAGCTTTCATATGCCAAATCCAGCACAGTGATTTTTTGATTTTATTTACCCATCTAGTAAGTGAATTTTGGAAGACACATTATTTCATAACAAACAGAGTAATATATCTAAAATAAATCCTGCAGGCTGCTCTTTTCATCATCCATCCATCCATGTTCCTTCACGCTTATCCCTGCTGGGGTTGTGAGGGGTGCTGGTGCCTATTTACAGCTGTCAATGGGCAGGAGGTGGGGTACACCCCGGACAGGTTGCCAGTCCATCGCAGGGCAAACTTTTCACCATCTTATTTACACTAATACAAAATATAATATATATACCTTTTAGGGTGCAGAAGGTTATATGTATTTCCATTTTTGCCCTCTCCAGATAAAGAATAATTTCATTTATATTTATCAACCCTTTGTATGAGGAATAGTAATGTTGACAACATATTATGTATACATAAAAGAATATATTCCAAAAGTGAAACAGCAACAACTGTTTTTAGAAATTGCGTTGTAAATTTTGTGTAGCACAGTGTTTTTTTTTGTGTTTGATTGTTGTAGATTTTTTTTTATTGTGTCATTAATATTTTAGACATTACCACAATGTTCCAGGAAACAGTAAATATTTCATGCCAAATGCGTTTTCATGCCAGTTGTGACCAAACAGCGCTTTTTGCTATCAATGTACTTTTAATAAGTAATACACTCTAAATGCATCTTCCCCAGACCAGCAACAGCAGGCTTTGACACACTGTTTGGTTGATTTATTTTTTAGCAACACCTCAGATCTTTTTTTCCCTGCTTCTTATCCTGGGCCATCAATACTGCACGTTTTGAGAAGATGGTAAATATTGCATGCTAACTTTGCGCCATAAACCATGCATGTCTATGAAATTTAACGGCGTTTTAACACAGTGGAAATTTACATAATAATAAATACAAATATTGGTGATTTCTCCAATTAATATATGCAGCATTTAGATTTTGCAATCCATCCAGATGGATTCCATTTGTTTGGTAGTCCGGTTGAGAAACAAATCTGACCTGGGGAGGATTTGTAAATTAGACCTCTCCACAGTCTCTCTTTTGCTATGATATTTTTGGATAACAAAATACTTTTGCTTACCAGGCTCAGTGCTGGTGCCAGGGTATCATTTAATCACAGTACCCCTATCAATAACAAAGATAGACTAATGGGTACACATTATATACCGAGCAAACTGTGATCTGAGCATATTGCTTAATATATCTTAGGCTCAACCCGTCTGATGGATTATTATCAAAAACACTTTCATAGCAAACCTATGAGGAATGATGAAAATTATCAGTAAGAAAAGCAAAATTAAAGAATTTCTTAAAAACGCTAACTAAGCTGTCCTTGGTTAATGTTTCTGTTCATTTGTTCCCTTAACATTTGAAGTTTTTTTAAAAAAGAAAGCCATAATAAAATAATGCAGATGTGAGAAAAATTTTATTGGTTCAGTTATTATCGTTTTTTTCCAAGATTTGAAGTGACAGAAAGTATGTTTAAATTGGGCTGCTGTGGTATATGTTTTTATTACTCTCCAGAGATCCAGTCCATGTGTTACAGTATAAAACTATGCACTTTTTTAAAGAAAATAATTTTTGAAACTCTAAAATTAACATGTTGATAGGATGTGTAAATGCAATTGGAAATCGCTATGATGCATGATATTTATGTTGGGGGGGAGTGGCAGAATCTGATAAATTGCTTTAAAAATACAACTACATGTTTCTGTAGACCTTTCTGTCATATGTAATCAACTAACACAATCGTTAAGTGTAATTTTACAGTATATCTGAAAATAATAGGTTTTATTTCTGCAATGGAGGCCTTTAATTAGTGTGTGTTAGGAGTAACCTCTTTGTGCTGGGCTGTTTTATACAAGTGCACAAAAAAAGTTAACAAGTTTTAATAGAAATTCTGGAAAATAGATAGATTGCAAAACAAAAAAAAATGCAGTTTTGGTCTCTATGCAAACATGCTTACAGTGCTGATTACACAATCTTGACATTTTCTATAACTTTTTTTGTAGACCAAAATGTAATCATTTAAAGCATGCCATCAAAAAACCTCTTCCATTTAGAGTAATATATTCCTGCTAAGTGACCGAGGGAGAAAATGGGAGTAACGTACAATATGCAGGAGAACGACTGAGAGCTGGAATAACTATGGAAGTTTTAATGGATTAAGATAGAACTATGCCTATGTTGTCGGCTTAATTAAAGGTATAGTGGAGGATTTTCGCTCCTTTTCGATTTTGAAAAGACCCGCCCTCTCCACTTTAAAAAGAAATGCACATGCACAACCCTGTACCCACTCCAGAGAGAGAACGCCCATTAAACACGTGCAAGAGCATTCGGGAGCCCATTTCTCCTGGTACACGATTTGTTTAAAAGTTGCTGTTGGCATCACTCATACAAGCTTAATTTTCAAAAGAAGATTTACAATTTTTCCACTAAGTCGGACTCACCACCTGTAAGTGAAAATGGGGACGAGCAAATAGGACAGCCTTATGTAAACATGTGACCAGAATGATAGGAGGACCACTCTTTTAGATGATCCATGCAGAAATAAAAGAATGTCCTATGTACCTTTAGGCCACATTATTAATATTAAGAACAGGTCCTCTGAAATGTGGAATAAATAAGAGAACCTTACCAAAAAGCAAAAATTGGTTGAAAACACATTGAAAATACGGCATGATTTACATTCAAACATCGTCTACCTTCTGTTTAAAAAAATAAAGCTGAAAAGCCGTAAGTTTCAGATAAGAGTGAACAAACACAGCCCAAATTTCAACAACAATTTCTTGACTAAATAAAGACTATAGCCCCATTTACACTACCTTTTTTGAGACCATGCAAAGATCAGTCTGAGCACAGTAACCGATATACTGTAACTGTTCAGTGTAAATGGCAGGCACAACTGAATGGGACCGTGCCAGACACAACCGAACCACGCTGCTATAATACTAGTTCATCAGTAGTGCTTGGAGCGGTTCAGTTCTGGCTTGGTTCTTAGATAACAAAGAGCGCATGAGCAGACCAGGTCATCTCCTTACAGTCAGCCTCCGTAATCATGAAATTTCAGACATTCATAAAATACTAGCTTCCCTACCTTGCCATGCAATTTCCAGAGATGATTCTGTGTAGCAGTGTGATGAACCCCAATGTCTGTTTTTGTTTCCTGTATCTGTAAGCCCTGATTAGACTATCATTTGTCGTTTCCACTTCCCAAAAGCCAACTCTGTCCAGTACATTCACCAAAGTTTGCCTTCTTTGCCTGACTCTCCGCAAACGAAT